GGCCGGGACCCGCGCCCCGCAGCCCGGGCGGCCGCGTGCTCGGGCCGGGGTGGCCTGGGCCTGGGGACGGCGGGGCACTGCGCGCGGGGCGCCTGCTTCCTCCCGCCGCCGGACTTGCGAGTTGGGGAGTGTGCGGGCCCCAGACCGGGAACCTGGAAATCCCGCGCGAGACGGGGCTGGGTTGGAGGGCTGGAGTGGAGGAGCCGGGGCTGGAAACGAAGTAGGAAGCTCCAGCCGGGACGGCTACAGGTTTCTTTGGAGAAAATCTGTCTTTTAACCTGGAGGCTGGGTAGTGTGAGCAAGTGTGAGTGTGTGTGTGTCTGCGTCTGTGGGTTGGGGAGGCCTTGCTCTGGAGTCTCTCTGGGCCAGGAGGTGGCCTGGAGACCTCCTCCCTCCTAATGTCTGGGATAAAAACTGCCATGGCTGTTGCTTTACCTTCTGTGGCAGGGAATCGGGGAGCCTGGGAAGGCTGAAGGTGGATGGAAAGTTAGTGCTAGGGCTAGCTAACCTGCCCCTTCATACTTTGAGGCCATGAAGTATTTCTCTTACAAACACGAGAAACAGGGACAGGCAGTTATGTTCTTAGCAAACCTCCTCACGAGATACATCATTTTTAGTAGAGTTTGTTACTCACACGATAGCAAAGTACTCGGATACGAGGGACAACTGCAGTATGCACAGTTTTGGAAAACCTTAACATGAGATGCCTTTTATAATTTGGTTTTCGTTATCTTTGCACATGTTTCAGAAGGAAAAAGAGAAAGATAATAACATACCAACACCTAGTTTGTCCCTAAAGGAGGGTTCATGCCCCAACTTTTCCCTCCTCCAGGCTTCCACATCTCAGAAAGTGGGCTGGTAGTCGACACAGCTGCTGGGATGACAGATCTAGATGTTATCCTCGTCCTAGTCCCTCATCCCTGGATTCAGTGTGTTTCCAAGTCTTGTTGGGACTACCCCAAAATGTGTCCACTTCTTCCTCACGCGATTGCCTTAGTCCCCCGTTTTCCTGCAGTATTACAGTCCCCTCCCTCCATCCTCGGTCTGCCAGCCAGGGCGATACAGCAGATATAGACATAGATCTTCAAACAGGTAAACAGCCCTGTCAGTCCTCTTCATGGGACTCTTCTCCTTGCTATTGGCATGAAACTCAGGGGAGTGCCTTCCTTTCCCACCCTCAGGAGCCCTGGCTGCTGCCATCTCTGATCATCAGGATCATCAGGCCGTTGGCGCCCATCCACCTCGGCCAAGCTCACTCTGCAGCTCAGGCCTCTGTATCTCTGGCCCACATCTCTGCACGTGGTCTTCACAGACCTTCCCTGGCCACCGTCCCTCAGTGTGCCTTCTCTCTCACATCCCTCACTCTGCAGCCTTCTAGCAGTTCCACTGTCCATGTGTTCCTTCTTTTTCTGCTTAGTTACCCCTGTCTCCACTGGGGTCAGTGTCTTGCTCCCTGGGGCCAGTGTCTGTGCTCCTGAACATAACCAGAGGTGCCCTGTGCATAGGGGTAGATTCAGTAACTGGGTGGTGACTACATAGCCCTGACCCTGTGTGGCCTGAGTCCCATGCAGCCCTCCCATTGCCCAGCCTTTCTGTGCTCACCTGGGATTGATAGCAGTCTAGTTCTCTGCCTTGCAGCTCTGATATTCTGGCATCTGCAAACCTGTTAAATACATCGGTAAGCAAGCCAGGATAGTCAGGGAGCTAACAGTGCCAAGGGATGTCTACAGCCACAGGCCAACCAGCTCATCCAGGCTTTTGATTCAAAAAGGAGCTAGGTGATAAGGGCATTTCTAACTTGCTTCCCCTTTTGTATTGACTGACAGTCCTTCTCAAACTTCCTGAAAAAAGATTTTAGGGCAATTACTTATTTTACTGTCTGTCCCTCTCTCCAGTTTCATAAACTCATGAAGTGTGCTCCTCCTCCATAGGGTTCAGTAAAAACATTTACCGAAGGAATGTCTGGTTCCTTGTTGTCTTTTTCATTAAGCATTTAAGTTTGTTCATTAATGTGCGCTGTAAAGAGTTGGCAAAAGGAAATTCGTAACTTTAAAAAAATTACTAAAGTAATCATTACTGCAGAAAACCTCTTCAGGTTGCAGAATGAATAGAAAACTTAGATCTTACAGCCATGATTGGTTGTACTGGTCTGAACCCAAAAGAGGCCAGAGAAAGCAAAGACCTTTTTGAGGGCCAAGACCCAGCAAAACTTGAATTACCTCCTCTGAAAGCTTCTACCTCCGGGTGTAAGCTAAAATACCAATTATAATTTTAAACCTGCTCCAGCGGCAAAACCCTCCACTAGCAGACCGATCTACAAAAGGAAACCGAAAGGGGAACCAAGTGCACTGGGTAAGGATTCACCTAAAATATTTTTTAAGATTATTTTTTGTAACTCAAAAACATTATATCGCAAGACTCTTTAGTTCTGAGAAGGAATGTCGGCTGCTGGGATCTTGAAAACTGAGGTGTGTTTAGCAGCTGTTCAGAGAGGTGTGTGAAAGCAGGTGGCAGTTGCTCTTCTCAGTTTCTAAACGTTAGTGTGCAATTTGGAGCCTGGATTTTAAAACAGAGTCTGTCTCCTGGTTCTCCCTAACCTAGTTCTCAACTTGATTTTCGGAACTGGATTTTGCAATTTACGAGGCTTTAATCATCTTCTGAATTTTGTGCAGATGGATCATTTCTCTTTTCCTCCTTGGACTTTTCAGACTTCCCAGCTTCAAACTTGGTGTTTCTCTGGACTGTTTCCTTTATTGGTTCAGAAAGGTGCAGGCTGTCCTCAGCCCACCTTCCTCTGCTTGGAAGAAACCAGCCCACTGGGCAAGGTGCCTGATTTCCAGGCTTTTAGATGAGAAGCTCTGAGTGCTTGCAGACTGGTTCTGTAGCTGGCTCGGGCACCCTGACTGGGGAGACAGCGCCTCCCCTCCAGCCTCCCATGCCCCAGCATTGTGATTGCAGATAATAACCACACCAGCCCTATTGTAAAAAGGCAACTGGCTGCAAAAGCTCTGCCTGAGTGAATTCACAGCAGCCCTGCAAAGTCGCCAGGGATGGGGTAGGTGTCTATTTTTAACAGAGAGAAAACTGAGACACCCAAGTTTCAGATGGAGGGCACACTGGGGAATATCAGAGGCAATCCACACCTTGACATCCACACTGTGCTTTTACCTTTACATATTGGCATTATTTATATAACCCTGATTTATTATCCTTATCATCACTCTCCATTATTATTATGGCTGCACTATTTTGGAATTGTCTGGCTCAGTGTCCCTGACCATGTACTTTATGTCTAGGACAGTCTACACACATTTCACAGGGTGTAATACCTTCCTGTCATGGAGTCGTCCTCATGCCAAGTCTGAGCTAGGACATTTCTGGTCTTCTAATCAACTTTAAAGCAGGATGGGGAATCATGCTGGGCAGACCTCCAAGCCCAGTGGGAGCCCAGCACGGAAGAACAGTGCTTGGTCTCAGTCATCTGTCACAGTCTTGTTAGCTTTAAGAGATTAGTCTTAAACCAACTTGGTTTCCCCACCTTGGATTATTTGAGGCCAGATAATTCTTTGTTGCCAATGGCTGTCCTGTGCATTGTAGGATATTTAGCAACATTCTGATCTCTACACGTTACATGACTGTAGCATCTCCTCCCCCTGCTAAGTGTGCCAACCAAAAATAGGTCTCTAGGCATGGCCATATGTCCTCTGCGAGAGAGGCAGAATTCACGGGGTCCATTTCTGCTTGCCTCCAAAGTCCAAGCTAAGTTGTGTTCACAGCCAGTAGCAGTTCTTTCCAGACACCTTCCCTTCCCCATCCTTGCCTGACCGCTGCTTGGGAATCTCGTCGCTGGGCGTCTACATGAGTCTGTCCTGGGCCAAGGGAAGGCCTTGTACTGTGACCAGCTGTCACTGTGTCTGCCCATCCCACCTGGAGTATGGTTCCCTCAGGGCAGAACCCTTAGTTAGCTGTGTTGCTGTCCTGAGTCTCGAACAGGACCTGGCTGTGTTGTAAGGGACAGTGGATATTTGATGACTGAACAGTGACTGCGCCCTTTGCTGCTACATATTTTGGCATTGCTTAAATTTCTTCTTAAGGAGACAATTTCCAAGTCCAGTGACAGTGAGATGGGGGAAGCTTGGCCCTTTCACTGCCTGCGCCTGGTGGGTTTGGCCAGATAGGTGGCTCAGGAAGAAAAATATTGGGAAAGAAAGCAGAGTATCGGTGAACCAATATAAATAGTAAATATTTGCAGGGATTGCAAGAAAGGACTTGAGTTAAAAAGTCCTTCTGATGTTATGCTGTTCTTCACCACAGGAATGAAAAAGGTTTCTGGTCAACCATGACTGTGCCTCCAGGCTCTAACCCACCCCCCGGGCAGTGGTGACAACAGCAGGACCTGCTTGGAGATCAGCTGCCTTAAGGGTTGATGGCTGGCATGTCGCAGAGTCCACCCAGCATGTACTGGTGTGTGGGCCCAGAGGGATCAACTTTGAGTCCAGAACGCACCATGGAGACCCAAAGTGGTAAGGACGGGGCTGGCCAGGGGGCTCTGGCTCCCATGCTTGTCCTGCGGAGAGTTTAGGCTACATAAGAACAGGGTATCTTCAAGCAAAGGAAATAAAATGGCAGTTATTTGTGTTTTCTCATCATAAAATATATCTTGGGATTTGCATTTAAATTCTTTTTTTTTTCGGGTAATTTGCACTTAAATTCTAAATATTAAAGGGCCATGTACAAAATTTATTGTGGACTCAAAGATCTTAAGAAATGGGGTCTTACATCATGTTGGACTTTTTAAAAAATAGGTATTTGGTTTTGTTTTAGCATTTTAAAATTAATACCTCTTTATTAGAGCAAAATTGAAAAAAGAAAAAAGGAAGTTGTAAAACATCACCTAGAGTCCCTCTACTCCAAACACAAGCACAGCTGGCATATTCTCTTCTAGTTTCTTTTTCTATGATTAAAACACTTTGTTTTAATTTCACTGTACTTAGAAGGTAGGTACAGTTTTGTATGTGCTTTCCTAACTTTTTATCAATGACCTAAGTTACCACTTACTTCCTCTGATTAAGTGAAAACATCATTTTATATGGCAGCACAATATAAAATTCTTGACCTGATCTTTATTTTCCTTTGAACATTTGGGTTGCTCCTGTCTGTTCATTCTTTCCAAAAGCATTCCATTCCTTTCTTTTTGTACATGGTTTCCAGGTTATTTCCATAAACTAGAACTTCAGAAGTCACACTGAGTTTGAACATTTTGAGATTTCCCCATGAGAGCTGCCTCATTTTTAACCCCAATAGACTATCATTGATGTTGTTGTTAACAATTAATATTTGTTAATCTCTTAGAGCGTAGCAGACTCTGAGTTTAGAGCTTTATGAAATAATCTCATTTAATCCTTATAACTGTGAAAATGGTACTTTTATCCCTGATATAATCCTAAGGAGCTTGAGAGAGAAGTCTAGAAACTTTCAGCAACTCAATAAATCGTAGAACAACCATCTGAACCCTGTTGGACTCTTAAAATTCTCGTTCTTAATTGCTGGGCCATCCTGTGGGATTCAGGAGGGCCCACAGGTGGTTTTGAGAGAGCTCATTTTGGGTTCAAGAAGGCCTAGGTCTTGGTACCCTCAGTATCCTGTGAACCCCTGAGTGTGAGGGGGTTTTTAGCAGGGACCAAATGCACAAACTGTCACAGAGTTGAAGCTGATGAGAGGAAAGTGGCTTATAATTCACCAGGAAATTCTGTCCTGTGCTTCAACATGAAGGACATTATATTAGATATTAAAGCATTACAGTAATAATCAAATCCTCTTAAGGAATTTCATAAAGAAGCTACTAATTTATGCCCATACCCTGTCAGTTTAATGGTCTCAAAGATGATAACGGCAGAGTTGAGCCTGGAGCCCCACACCTGGAGCTGACGAACTAACAGAATTTGTTAATTCCAAGGGTTGAACCCTATAACACACCCCCTGCAGAGCCTACTTTGGAAACATCACACATTAGATTTCATCTTCACAGATGCTTCTCAAGTATGATGAGGTTATGTCTCCATAAGCCTGTCATAAATTGAAAACATTATAAGCTCAGATACACTTAATACACCTGACCTCCCAAACACCCTGGTTTCGTCCATCCTGCCTTTAACATGCCCAGAACACTTACCATAGCCACAGCTGGGCAAAATCGTTTAGCACAAAGACTATTTTATAATAGGTTGAATATCTCATATAAGATGTTGAGTATTATACAGAACACATAAAACAGATTGGTTGTTTTGTACCACCGTAAACTCAAAACATCCTAAGTTGAACCGCTGTGATCTGGAGCTATTTATGTATACCCCAAGGCCACAGCCGGGGATGGGCGACTCTCAGAGGGAAATGTATCTGAGTTGGGGTTACAGACTCTGTGCTTTGCTTATCTCTAGTCTTTGTTTTCTACAAAGAACACGTGTCCCATTTTTTGTTGTTTTGCATTGCATTTCCAGTGAGAATAATGTCGCAAGTTGTTTTATTTTTTGCTAGTGCATGTCTGCAGTACATTAAGTTTACCCTCCTTGTGTGGAGCTGGTCCATGTGTAGCACATTGGAATTCCTTTTTTCATCCCATTTCCCTCCCTCCCTCCATCTCGATCCCTTCCCATTTGCCAAAGATCTATCTCCCTACATCCTGTTATCTGTCCATTATTTTATTCTTTATTCATACTTTGGGTTTCTCATATAAGAAAAACCATGCAATACTGAAGATTATGTGTCTGATTTATTTCATTTAACATTATGGTCTCAAGGTGCATCCATTTTCCTACAAATGACTCAAGTTTATCCCTCTTTATGGCAGAGTAGTACTCCATCGTGTGTAAATACCACATTTTCTTTTTCCGTTTATCTGCTGCTGGACATATAGGCCACTTCTAAGGTTTAGCTATTGTGAATTGTGCTGCTATAAACATGGTTATGCATGTAGCACTGTAATATATCTTGAACTCTTTCGGAAAGATTAGAAGGGGGAATAGTTGGGTCTAATGGAATTTCTAGTTTTCAGTGTTTGAGGAATCTCCACACTGACCTCCATAGTACTTTCCATAGTACTGCTTTCCAGTCCCACCAACACTGTGGGAATGCTGCAGCCTCACCAGCATTTGTTATTGGACTCCTTGATGGTGGCCATTCTTTCCGGGTGCAGACGGAATCTGATGCTGCAGAATTAGGGTCTGGTTGATACCCTTGTGTCCTCACATCCAGGGTCAAATCTGCTTCTCTGGCTTCTTTCCCCTGGGTGTCTGTCAGGAGCGTATTTGAATCAGGCTGCCTGTAGCTGGCCCCTCTGGAGGGTACCCCATCTGAGTGTGTCCCCCTAGAATGGCTTCCTGTCTCCAGGGACAGATTGTTCCTTCTCACCTTTCCCAAGCGTCATAGGATCAGAGGGAGCCTGGCTTCTTAGCACCCTCATCTCCGGAAGGACGGTTGCAGACCTAACTCACAGCTCTGCCTAAGGAAAATTGCTTGCCAGAAGAAAAACCAGTGACACTGAAATCATTCAAGGGCAACTGTCTTTTAAAATTCCTTAGGAGGCCAGGATTTTGGCTCAGTGACGTCACACCTGCCTGGCAAGTGCAAGGTCCTGAGTTCAATTCCTGGTACCGGAAAAAAAGTCCTTAGAAGGTACTATGTTTTAAAATGTCAGTTCTTAGTGTTCTTGGAAGAGTGGTTTAGAAAAAGACTTAAACTTTAATGAAATGTATTTTACCATTTTTCCATAATGACATTTTATATTTTTTTATGTATGTAGTAGATGTGTTTTGTACACACACACCCCTACCTGTTTCCACTTGCATAACCTCACCTCAAGTGTTTTTAGAACGGTTCAAAGCCCAGGACTGAAGGGTGTAGTAGTAATCCCAGTAACTTGGGAGACTGAGTCAGCAGGATCACTTGTGCCCAGGAGTTTAGGACCGGCCTGGGCAACATAGCAAGACCCCTGTCTCACAAAAACAGCAACAACAGAATGAATGTGGCACTATGCCAGCTGCTCTGGGCATGGCTGCTGTGTCCCCACTGTGTGTCCCCACTGCCGTGTCCCGACTGTGTGTCTGTGCAGCACAGTTGTGTCGCAGGAAGATGTGTCACCTCCTTAATCTCTGAGCACCATCAGCAGCGAGCTCCCTGCAGTGCAGGAGGAATGTGGAGGGGGCTCTGATGGGAGTTGAATGTGCCCCTGCCAGGAAGAGGGTTGGCGAGTTAGCACCAGGCCAGGACTGCTGGGAGATCTCCCTGGACAAACCCATCATTAGACATTCCTTCCTGAAGTCTGACACCAGCCACAGCGGACAAACCTGTTCCGCCAGCTGAGCGGGCACCTAGGAAAGTCAGAGTAAAGAAACTTTCCGATAATTCAGGCAGATACTCTCCTGGATGGTGGAAGGTGTGGTGCTGGATGGACTCCACTCAGAGGCAGCTCAAGGTCCCTGCTCCATGTGACAGCTCCTAGCTTCAGCCCTGAAAGCCTAGCCCACCTGCCTGCCTGTCAGAGCACTGTCCACTGCCAGAGCCAGCATGGACCAAAGGAAGAGCAGGAAAGTTCCAGAGGGTCTTCAAATCCCAGGTCATAACATAACTATTTGCACTGTCTTCGTTGTTGTTGTTTTCCTTTGGCTTTTTCAAATCTGTATTAAAAATCTGACTTTGTAATATAAGAGCCAAGTGGTTTGCTCCAGTGGGGATTTTTCTTGCCTTCCAGAGACAGAAGCAGCAAGTGTCCTTGGGTGGTAGCCTGCCCTCTTGCTGAGCCACTGTCAGAAATTCTACAAGGGACAGATCTGCACCAAGGAGGAAGTGCACATCTTTAAAATGCTCCTTGTGTCAGTGTCCTGCTTACACCTGCTGGGCCATGGGGGGCTGGCAGCATAGGGCTTTTCCAGGCAGGAGACCATGGTGGATGAGTACCTGCCTCAGCCTGGCCTCAGGTTACACACAGGGCCTCTCTGGGGAGCAGAGCCAGCATCTTGAGTCCCTTACTATGTGAGCCCAAGGAGAGAGTAGCTGAGCGGTGGCCTGGTGTATGGGAGAAAGGGCTGAGGACATCCATCCATGAAGGTGACAGGTAACCAGCTGTGCTTCCCATCCATAAGCAGAGCCCAGTCACACGGGCTCTGAGAATTAACCTGAGGCTTAGATCTTCACTTATGTGTCCAGAATATATAGTACTTGCTTCTCACAGCAGGGAGCTGACTGCCTACCAGATGCCGCCACCCTTTGTGTTAGGAGGTTTTTGCTGTGGCTGTGTGTCTTGTTCTCATTGCATCTAGCTTCACCCAGTGAGTCCGTTGGAGTCCCTTGACTCCTTTCTTGGAGTAACTAAAAGCAGCACCTCCCCCTCCTCCTCCAGCCTGTGTAGCAGTCTCTCGGGGACACCTCCACTCACCCACCTGGGCAGGTGGCCAGAGTCTGAAGGTGTGGCTCACTCCAAGCCTCCGCCCTCCGAACTGTGCTCCATACTTGCTCCCTCATGTGGGGT